CAGAGATCCTGCTACTTGAAGTAAGCGATTGAAAAACTCTACGCGTCTTGGTCTCCTACTCGAAGAAGATTAGAGAGGTTTCATGGATAGTGATTGTGGTGCTTGCTACCTTGGGAACTTTATATCCTTCAAAAGCATGTACGTGTTATTTTGTACGTGTAATACATTAGTAACTATACCTATACTTTTTTCCATGTAAAACACCTCAGTCTTCTGAAAAATAAAACTATGTTTTAAAAGTCCAAAACACGGTTTAATAAAATAACATAAAAGATAAAACAATAACGTCATCATAAAAAACTAAAACAGACACCATTACCGTGAGTGTTGACCGGACAAGAATGTTTACATCGTCTATGGGACTTTACACTTTGCTTGTATTTGCTGAGAGTTCTATGAAAAATGCTCTTCTTGGACTTGATAGGGTTCATTTCATGCAAAGGTATGTCTTTAGCTTGGGTTTTCTCTTTAAGGTCGATAGATTGCTTTCTGGGGCATGAGTTGGTGACTTGGCAAGTAGAGAACGCTGCTACATAAGTGGGAAGCCTCGGTAAGAAGCCAGTGACACGGGTACAACGGGGGAAATCTTGGCGAAGCCTTGGAGAAGCACACGGAGACAGCTCCCTGCTACTGTCCGAGTCTGAGGATGACTCGTACAAACTCATATCAGAAGCTGGGCTCGTGCACTTGTCCTCATACCGCAGGGTGTGAAACCCGGTGTAGTAATTCCCCATATTCACGTTCATCAATTCGAACGACACGCTTGGCGTCAGTAACCGCGCGAGAGAATCTTTGGGACAGCACCTCTTGTTTCTGAACTGGCATCCAACGTCCCTAATAAACACTACAGCATCACTTTCACTCTCTCTGACTACGTACTGGCATCCTACTGACTTGCTATGTTTAACATTGAACGTTGGTGCGGTTAAATGGTATTGGGCACAAATAGTATTAGGTGACGTGGGGTTGTGGGGAGTTTGCAGGATCTGTTGAACGTACCGGGTGCCATGCTCACATGTGTTTTGAACTTGAAGAACATCGCAACACTGACGATTGACTTCGTTGCTGTTTAACAAATCTTGAGGAGATCCGTTATTCATGCCTCTCTGTGCATTGGTGCTTCTTTGTGGTTCATTGCTAGTTTCTTCTTGTTTTGTTGTGAGACTGTCAAGGTTAAATTGCTTTGAGATTGGCACACAAAGAGGCAAGTTGACGCAGCGAGGACGATGCATGCAAGGCGGCACGAACTCGCAATTGTTCTTTAATACGTACGCTCTTTGACAAGAAGGTACAACTGTGCAAGGAGGGTGATGTCTGCATGCCTTGGTGATTCTTATTATACGCGGGCCAGTCCTTGGAGGTAAACTTTTGGCATATTTCTTGGCAGAGTGTTCGGGTGGTAGTACTTGACATACTGGAATCATTTCGCATGGAGGATCATGAGTGCAGTATTCATCATCGTCATTCTTACTCTCGTCGGTAGGCGAAATTTTTTCTGGCACATTCGGCGAATATGACTGCTTTTGAGACTCTTTTTCTGGTACATTTGGCGAATATGACTGCTTTCTAGACTCTTTTACTGGCACATTCGGCGAACAGGACTGCTTACGAAACTCTGGTTTGGGGAGTGTCTTCGTGACAGAAGGTTTTTCGTATCTGATGGTCATAGGTGAGCGTTGAACGTTGACCTTTTGGTATGTTGGAGGGTTAGGACTAAAAGTTTGTTTTTGATAAATATCTTCAGTGCTGCTTATTACCTCTATGGCCTCTTTGCATCTGGGACAAGTAATTTTTCTGGTTTTTTTGAAAGTCATTTGTGTATTCCCCACGCTCATGTTCTCATTAGTATTTTTGAATTGTTTGTCGGTTTTAGAATGAAGAAGAATAGTTTCCTTGTTGGCTCCTACAAAGCTCGTGTTTGTTAATTTACATTCCTTTACTTGATTTATGATTCGTTGTTTTTCCACCGATGGAATATCTGCTGTTGAAGTCTGATGATTTTCTGTTGAATGGATTTGATTAAGTAATCCTGTCAAAGACTTGTTATTTGAGTCTTCACACGGGCAGGCATAAGAGAATAATTGACAAGGACACGGATCTGTAGTTCCTCGCTTTCCTCGGTCTTTCCTTCTTGGCTTGATTTCTTCGGGTATGGTCGGGTAATCTGTACGATATTTTGCATACGACCAAAACTTCTGCTGGTCCGTTAGTTCACGATTAAAACAGCGTTTGCTGTCTTTGCTATTTTTACATTCTTTAATGTTGTCGTTTTTCGAGGGATAAACATTATTCTGGCCCTTCCTTTTTCCTTTTTTTGCGATTATTTCTGCACTGTCGCGTGGAATTAAGATCGGTCCTTTGTACGTTTCACATTCTTGTACGATAGCACATGGCTGCCCAAACCTCTGATTTGCTAGTTTCTCTTTAGATTTTCCTATCTCTTCATCCAATAAAGGCTCAACAAAGTAAGTCAAAGACTGCTTTTTTGCAATTTCATCCAAATCATAGAAAATTGTACTCGTAGATTTTACTATCGAGGTGGAGCTGAGATCTCTGTTCAAATATTCATACTTTTCTTTGGTGATATACTCGGTCTCGTTTTCAGGTTTAGTATTGTTTCTCTTAGATTCTGCAGGTTCATGTTTTTTCTTGGTTTCTTTATGATTTACGTAGAACACTGTTAACTCTGGTGGTGGTCTATCACAGCAGTCTTTTGTAAGATCTCCAACGTTACGTGTGCTGATTTTGCTTATAATACTGCTATCAGATTTTGCACGATCTGTTTTATAATGCATAATAGTAATAATAATGGATTCTAACATAAATATTGCAATTTTTTTATTTTATGCAGATTTCGTACGATCTGTTTTATAACGCATAATAATAATAATAATGGATTCCGAGATGGATTCTAACATAAATTTTGCAATTTTTTTATTTTAAGTAATTTTATAATGTTTGTTTTCAAATTACAGATGTTGATGAATAAATGTCATGTCATATTGTTGACCATGTCATCGAAACAGTTCTTTCAGTTTAGGTTTAGAGGTTACATTTTAGGTTTACAATCTTCTTTTTTCGACGAACTACCCGATGAACCCTGGTGTCAGAGTTTTTCTACCGCCTACTATAGTGCTAGTGGACCTCTAGTGGACCTTTGAAATGGTCGAGCTTTTCTTCTTGTAAGTACAAAAGTAACACCATAGACTAACTATCGTGGCTAACGAGACAGCTACATCACTTATCAGCAAGGAACATAATACTAACCTGGCGGTGAGCTTATCAGAGTACCTTTCACATTTAGATACATATCGATGCGCAATTCAGCGAGTATAAAATCCATAAAATCTACATTTCATCTAAAAAGGTACTCTTTGATTTCAACATGGACCCCGCAAGTCACGAGCAAATAAAACACAATTCACAATAAATCTCCGTTGTTCCAGGTTTCCACATGGCGCCGAAGCTATCCCGCATGTTTCCGGAGTCATGCCTGCTGATCTTCGTTGGAGTCCTCATTGGAGCCCTACTCCTTAGTACCCACAGTGTCCACGTGCAGCCCCTGACCCCTGATACCTTCTTCCTGTACATGCTGCCGCCTATCATTCTGGATGCTGGCTACTTTATGCCCAACAGACTGTTCTTTGATCATCTCGGGACGATCCTGCTGTTTGCTGTTGTTGGAACCGTGTTCAATACACTTACTATTGGTAAGTCCCCCTTCTTCTTTCTTTCCATCTTTTTTTGTTTATCTACATGTTTGTTGATGTTGAATCCAACATGATGTTGTCGCCTATTTATCCTGGACGCTGACTACTACTTCATGCCTAACAGACTGTATATGCAGAAGTATCATAAGAAATAGAAAGAAATCACTAGATTGTATTGCAATTTGCAACATCTCTGCCTAACCAGCCTAAATAAATCCCAACCCACCAAGTGTCAACTCAGAGTAATCTATTGATATTATTCCTCAGAATGATTTCTTGTCTTGTCCTCAGGTGCATCTCTCTGGGCTTGCGGGCAGACCGGCATGTTTGGTTGCCAAACCCCCCTATTGGACATGCTTCTATTCAGTGCCCTCATCTCTGCAGTGGACCCTGTGGCGGTATTAGCAGTCTTCGAAGAGATCCACGTGGATGAAGTGCTGTATATAGTGGTGTTTGGGGAGTCGCTGCTGAATGACGCTGTTACTGTCGTGCTGTACCACATGTTCGAGGCTTACACGTGAGTGCATCCAAAGTCCATAGTGCGCTAAACACCAAAACTTTATTTATTTATTTGGATAAACATCTACAGTACGCGCGCGAGTTCATGGCCATTCTAAAATATGTGCCTCCTTGTCGCACATGCCAGTACCACGGGGCGAACGACAAAATAGTGCGTATTTCAGGGTGGTCATGAACTCGCGCGCTAAGTGTGTTAATTTGTTTGTCCATAGTTCCTCCTTCTACGAATTATTCGTAGACTCTCTACGGCGTAGCGTCCGCGGGCTAATATCACAATAAGTAACATTGTCTCTCTTGTCTTTTTTTGTGTGTGTTGTCTCGTCCATTGCGCTGTTTTACCGGTGGCATGGCCGAACTACATAAAATCACACTAAATGCAGAAAACTGGCTTAAAATATAGACATCCCGATTTGCTTGAAATAGACATCTGATTTAAGCATGTATTGCGCTGTGATGCCCGTATCTACGAATCAATCAACCCTGGTAACTGACCCTTGGAACCACCTGAAAGGCTTCTAATGTCATGTCATGTGTAGTATCATAAATAAAGTGATAATCAGACATTAATAAGATTTCCATTATTTTCCAGTGAAATGGGCGTCTCTCGTCTAGTGTACACAGACTTCCTGGCCGGCCTAGCGTCCTTCCTGACGGTGGCAGTAGGAGGAACTTGTATTGGAGTGGTGTGGGGTTTTGCTACTGGCCTCGTCACTCGGTTTACCAATGAGGTACCTACCATAAATTGAAAATGAGAAAATTGCAAAATTCACTAGCGACCGACGACGGGACTTGATCCTGGGACTGTGGATCACCGTTCCACCGCTCTACAAACTGAGCTACGGGCGCCTAGCAGACCCTGGTGAATCTCTCAACCACTTGATGCTCGTCTCGAAGCGACGATAATTACCCACAAAAACAATTTTCGCCTCTTAAGACAGATCTTCGGCTTACTGTTAGTGCTCCATTCCTGATCCAATATTTTAGCGTAGCCCTCGCACTCATTTTTAAAAAGCAACTCAGCATATTTTATGTTTAAATATGTATCAAAGCGAGTTGCGATTTCGCAAATAGTTTCCAAGTAGTTTAGGTTGTTATGCACCTTGCTCTGTCTAGCCTCTCCTAAGATTTATTATTGTAATTTTTCTTATTCTTATTTTGTCATTGTAATTTTTGAATGAAGCATAATAATTTTTATTGTAATACTTAACTAAAACAAAATTTTATTTGATCAGGTGCGCGTGATCGAGCCCATCTTCATCTTCGTGATGGCCTACTTGGCGTACTTGAATGCAGAGATGTTCCATATGAGTGGTATTCTCGCGTAAGTATTGCTATTTTGCTTACCATCATCTTTCTGCCCTTATCCCAAAATTCCAAGTCATTTGGGGTCTGCGCAACATGTATTTTTAGAACAAACAAAAATCTTGTAGCAAAAGGATTTGGCAATGTTTTATAACCGGCCGCCTACCTGACGTCAACCCCGCCAACATGCGGTTGACTATAGTCGACAGTCATTCAGGCAAGGTCAAAATGTCTACGTCGCGTTTTACGAAAAACCCTGAGTGGACTAATTTGTAGCGACATTGGTTTTTTTTTGCTGCCGACACGCTGTTTGAACTGCATTGAGTGACAGAGTTCAGATCACCAAGAAGTCGGTAGGACGTCAATATAAAGTGGAGAGTTATAGTCGAGAAGACAACTCGCTGCATTTGCGGCTGTATGGTAGCCGTATGGTGCTCGCTTTCTCACTTGAGTTTACCACCAAGTGGGAGAGGGAGCACCATATGTACACGAATGCAGCGAGTGGTCTTCTCGACTATAGTGGTCTCAATCGACCGCACATTACAGTGCTTTTACAGAAGAGATCTTATAATTCATCCTATTCCCAAAGAGGGTTGACGTCAGGCAGGCAACCGGTCATAAAACATTGCCAAATCCTTTTGCTACTTGATTTTGTGTTCTAACAAAACATGTTGCGCCGACCCCAACTGATTTGGGATAAAGGCAGGAAGATGATGATCTCATAATTCACCTGTAACCACTCGCAGTGACCTATTATTGGCCAGATAACGACATAACAGCAGGTTATTACGTAACGGTAGTGCCCGTACTGCCAGAGCTATCCATTTCCGGTGCTTAACTGGACGCCGTAAATGGACCGGAAGTTTGATGGCGTAAGCACTGGTATACTGGAAACTGGGTATTATAAACTGTGAGAACAAACTGGTTTGCAGACAAATACAGTACGCGAACGAGTTCATGATCATCCTGAAATATGCGCATTCTTGTCGCACACGCCAGTACCACTGCGAGTATGACAAAGAGGCGCATATTTCAGGATGGTTATGAACTCGTTCGCGTACCGTACATTCATTAGTTATTGCTAGTTTCGGCCATCCCTTTCATACAAACGTCTCCTCCTGCGTTCTTTTTAAAAAAAATGCATGTAGAGCTATTACTATTTTTAAATTTTATTAAGGCCTACTATTGGCATGGCATGCCCCTGTTTTTTTGATAAAATGAACCATAGAAACAGATATGTGTTTTATAATCGAGTATATTGTTGTTCGAAATAAGGGCCAAGCAAGGGCCAAGCCTTTACTAAGCAATAAAAAAAATATGGCTCTACATGTATTATTCGGTAAAAAAATAGGGGAATACGTTTGCATGAAAAGGCGGAAAACTTGCCATCTCTCGGGTATATAAAAAGATGCAAATATGAGATGTAGAAAAGTCTCTGAAAATATTACAAGGTTTGAACCAACCTGAACTGCACTCGTTTATAAATTAATTACCACTCGTGCTTACAAAGTTCAGTAATTTTGCGAGGGTATTCTAATATCTTGTTATTTATTTTATTTATATTCTTTGGGAAAATTGTTAAGCTTCTTGAACTGGTTCATCTTTAGAAATCTACATAACAAACTTTGCTATAAGCTTACATAAGAATCAGTTTCAGACAAGAATGAAAGAAAATAAAAGTCCCTTCCTAAATTCTTCATTTCGCTTACCGAACAAGTTGATACAAAAAAGTCACAAGTCCGAAGTTAAAAGTAAGAATTAAGTAGACAAGTTTACTTAAAGGAAGCACGATTTTAAGAAGACTTATTTAAGTAAGCTCAAGAAAAGCTGTACAACATCTGATGAACATATTTCTTTTCGTAGCGTTCGTAGCCGCTACGTTTTGCTACGACACTGACTTTTCATACACATTGTCAGAAGGAATAGTTTAAACCGGCGGTATAGTGCTGCTGAGCTATTACTTTAAATTTTGAACTCCCTAACCAAACTGGGAACAATCTCGCAAACTAATAAATTGACAGAACTTAGTTTGTCGTAACTAAACTTGATACTGGTATGGTGTTTTGAAAAGCATAAACAGTGGGCAATAATTGTGGTTTTTTGTGTCCGTATAGGGTCCTTTTTACAGGCATATTTTTAGCTCACCTTGCCCTACCGTCAACTTCATATAATTAAATTAAATTAAATTAAATTAAAATACGTTTATTTCAGGCACAAGTCCAATATAAATAGTCACAAAGCAACATGTCATAAGTAGAATATTAAATTAGGTACATAACGTCATTAATAAATAAAGTACTACAATACTAGTAGATATTAACTTTGTTTATAATAACTTTGCTTTTGTAAGTACCATAGAAATCTCATCAGTTGGGCGGCCTAGAGACGGCTACATATCGATGATTTGTACTAACAAATCCCCAATTTCTTTTCCAGCATAACATTCTGCGGGATAACCATGAAGAACTACGTGGAAGGCAACATATCGCATAAGTCCCATACAACAATAAAATACACCATGAAGATGCTATCGTCTTCCTCCGAGACTATCATCTTCATGTTCCTAGGTGTCGCCACCGTCAACAATAACCACGACTGGAACACGTGGTTTGTCCTACTGACCATAGTCTTCTGTTCCGTATTTCGTATTATAGGTAAGGGTGTATTTTTACCTTTATTTTTGCTCAAGTATAGAAATTGCTGGGATACCTCTCTTTCGCACGAAGCGATTTGCTTCAACTTTCATCATGCTAACGGATTAGGAGTGGGATCTGTGTCCGGAACATTATAACTTGGGCCTTTTCAAGGTAAGAGTGAATAGGCGCTACAGGTGTACAGCATTGAAAAATTGTCTCATTCCGGCCGTCGCGGCTCGGCTGTGCGGCGAGAAGTACCTACTTTCACCTTAAATATATTTTATTTTTTATTTTAATTAAGTTTTCTCAAACATGCTAGGAAATATGACAATTTCTTTCAAGAAAACAATTCAGAAAGTTTGACATTGTCTGTGATTTTGTAATTTCTGAACGATTTCTTTTTTACACACCAGCAATGGATTCCAATACAACTTTTCTGGCGCGATATCGAAATCGTTCAGAAATTACAAAATAAAAAAAGAATAACTCCTAATCCACATCTTGACTTAGTAATCAGTGAAACAACTTTTTACATCAAATTACTATAAAATAAATTAAAATCTTTATAATTTCCTAGCATTTTTTTGAGAAAAGCACTATGTAAGCCTCGGGGAAAATGACTTTGCCAGACTCGTATTTTTAAAGTCCTCGCCTGCGGCTCGGACTTCAAACTCTACTCGTCAGTCAAAGTCTTATTTCCCGTCCTCGTCAACAACCTACTATTACTTAATAAGATACTTCCGAATTTATCTGCTTTCTTACCTGTTGGTAAGTGATAATGCAGACGATGTTGGAGCTTATCTAGGTAGTTAGTGCCTATTCACTCTTGCCTTGAAAAGGCCCAAGTTATAATGTTCCGGAAACAGATCCGTCAGCAGGGAATTCCACTCCTTAGCCGTTCGCATGATAAAAGGATGTCACTAATGCTATAATTTTTCTGTTAATAACCTGATGTATGTATTTTTGTTTCAGGAGTGTACATATTTAGTGCAGTAGCTAATAAGTTCCGTTTGCACAAATTAGATAGGGTCGAGAAATTTGTTATGTCTTATGGAGGTAAGCATTTCCTACATTATGTTTTAGATAAGGTATAGTTTGAGTTTGATTTCATAGACGTGAAGGTCCGTGTAATATGGATTCCTAGATAATATTTAAAAACTGCATTACTCTCAAGTAACATAGTTTACTTTAGGTATGCCCCCAAAGATTTACCAGCAGTTGTGGGCAAAACAGCTGGACGGAAAGTATGCGGATGTCCAACGAAAACTGAACAACTTCTTTCATTATTACGACTTCCGAAAAAAGCCAAGAATAAATGGTCACACAAAAAATTCATTGACTCGGGAGCATTCATATAAGAAAACATTTTCTCTAGTGTAGCAAAAAATTTGTAAAGTTCAGTTTTCCAGTTTTTATGACCCGCGAAAAGTTCTTGTCTGTTTCTCTTACACTATATTTAGGAAATACTTTTCCCCAACATCTCTTCGAAATTCAAAACTTTTATTTCCAAGTAGATTCACAAAGAATACTTTATGAATGTCAAATAAAAAATATTTCATTTCCCCAGGTCTCCGAGGAGCGGTGGCATTCGCACTGGTGCTATTGATAGACCCTAACGTAGTGAAACTGCAGCCGATGTTTGTCACCACGACCATAGCTGTCATATACTTCACAGTCTTCATTCAGGGCATCACCATCAAACCCTTGGTCAAGATGCTCAATGTCAAGACTGCTGAGAAGAGGAAGCCTACAATGAACGAGAGAATTCATGAGAGGGTAAGAGATAGCTATATGTTGCATAGTATCTATTCAGTTCATCGCGATAAAACCTTTGGTCTAGATGCTCAATGTCAAGACTGCTGAGAAGAGGAAGCCTACAATGAATGAAAGAATACATGAAAGGGTAAG